AAGTCTTTTGAAGTCTTGAAGTCTTGAAGTCCGCTGTTTCCCCCTTGTGATTCCGTTAAAATTCTTACTGGTGATTCGGCTATAGCAAGTGGTGATTCGGCTGTAGCAACTGGTTATGATGTACCTGACGACGATTTGTGGTTCGGAATGGACATTACAGCTTGGAAATCTTTAACGATAGATGATAAAGTAAGATGAAATGACGATGGTTTTTGTATTAAAAAATTAATGTATAGATCAAAGAAAAGAACACAAGTATTGAAGGTCTCAAAAGTAAAATAAAAGAAGCAGAATCAAAAGGAAAACCTGTATCAGGTCTTAAGGCCGAATTAGCTGTTGAAAAAAAAGGATTACAGAAGTTATTAGAACGAAAAGGTAAAAAAATATGATTAACTAAATTGTTTTAAATATTACGTTTTAGAAAAAGATCGTCTTAAAAACAAAGAAAATAATGTTCGATAATGGCAGTCATATTATGACAAAATTCTTTCTTTTGTAAACCTTTCTTCTGTTATAGTTTTTTTTTTCTTTTATGGTAAATATTTTCTGTTAAATAAAACAACAATCATTATTCAAGTATAAAAATAACAGAATAATTGTTAGGAAACGAAATATTTGGCTACTTTAGTTTTCTAAATACTTTGTCAATGAAAAAATATTTATCAGTGAATTTTTGGACTATTCATCGACGCTATAGAATTTTGTTGACGAGGTCATCCATTCATTGTTTTGTTCGATGATGAAAATAGATAGGAAAAAAAAAGGTTAGATATATATGTATATATGCACCGTAAACAGACCGTTTATTACAGTCAGTATGGATCAGTCAAACGTTACTCTTCTTGATCTACCTAATGAAATATTACTCATTATTTTACAGAAACTTAACAATATGGATGTTCTCTATTCATTATTGGATGTTGATAATCAACGGCTTGATATGATAGTACAAGAAAAAACATTCACTAATACTCTCAATTTTGTATTAACAATGATAACTGATGATGTTTTGTCGATTGCTGATTCAATACTTGATCGATTTTGCATTAGTATACTTCCAAAAATTAATTATAATGTTAAATCACTTATTCTTGAATCAGAATCTATGGAACGTATTCTTCTTGCTACTGATTATCCTAATCTAACTCAACTTAAACTCTACAATGTTAACGATCATATTGTTTCACGTTATTTTACAGGTAATAAACTTCAATGGAAATGTGAGAATAGATATAAATGGAAACGTTATATACAGTACACAATATCTAATTATTCTTTATTTAGATAAATCACCATTTCGTCATATTTTTCAAGAACAAATTACCGATCTTATTCTTGTATATAACAGATATACTGACATGCTACTAATAAATCCTAACACAAAATATGTGTATGAATACACACTGAAACTTTTTGAAAATCTAAAACACTTCTCTGTAATTGGATGTGTTCAACTTTTATCTATTGGTAATTTAGCTTCGACCACGTGGTTGTCATTAAATCTTAACAAATTATGTGTTGATGTTTGTGGCTTTGAAGATTGTCTTGCTTTACTTGATGGTCGTCTCAAACAATTGACTACATTTATTGTTAACATTGATTGTCCGGAAGATGATTTGTCAATTATTTACAATATAGTGAGTTTATGTATTATTAGATGGTATTTTTTTTCCAATTTAAAATATTTGAGTTATCTATCTGATCAATAGTCGATGATTTTCTGTATATGCAAAGTTTCAAAAATCATTTATTCGTCTAAACTTTTATCTCTATAATTAATAATAATATACTTAGAAATATTGATTTGTTTTTTAGGATGATCTACCTAATATGAAATGTTTCTCATTAACATGTCGTTGTTCAACTAATGAATATGATACTCGAGTTTTGCCTCTTCTTCGTCGTATGAGAAAACTTGAAGAATTAACTTTGGATATTATTAACGACGAACGAACTACATTTATCGATGGTACTCAAATTAATGATAAAATTCTTGTACATAT